CAGAATTTTCACTAAAAAGTTTTCGATTTGCTATTCTTATTGCTTCAATATTACCGAGGAGGAGGTATAATTTGCTTTCATTGTGATCGAATTTCACCTTTTTAAGTTTATTAGGCGCCTATCTTCGTTCTCGTTCAAATATTGTATAGAGAAATCTTGGTATAATTCTTTTTCTGGTAAAATTTCGCTCTACAAAATTGAAACGAAGAGCCTAGTAATGGAATTAATAAAAAATTTTTTGTTTCGGTACCGATTCACAGTATCCACGGAACATAAACCAAAGAAACCAAGAAAAGATCGAGATTTGATCACGAAATAGTTCAAATTTAGTGAAAAAAAACCTGCCAATGTTTCCAGTTTTTTCAGCCAGAAAGAAGAATTCTTCTCGTTGGCCGCGACATTTTTGGCAGGCAATCTCTGGTCATGGCGAAAACTGATCAAAGTTTCTTTTTCGGAGTCCGCGTCGACCTTTCTGCTTTGGTATTCTTCATTTTCTGCTAATCAAAACCTTCTGACGGATCACATTTGAAATGGCTCAAAATTCTTGGGAAGCTTTGAGCTTGATCTCCGATTTTTTTTTTCAAAGATTCGAATTTCTCTGTAGTATACTGAAACTCATGATCAGCCATTCTCCGTGCGACCAATTTGTTTCAAGTCTGTGACATTCAGACTTGAGTTTTTCATGACCTTCTTTGAAAAGCTCAGTTTCAGCTTGACTGGCGCGAAATCCCTTTCGGTCACGTCATAGCCTTTGATTTTGCCAACGACGTCCAAGTTATCCGTCATTATGCCGATATTGAGGTTTTCCATAGTTTTTTTTCAAGTTAATTCAGCGGCTTTAGGGACAATCTTTGTATCAAGACTCCTTCCGAGAAGTGAAAGTGATACAGTCTGACCGGAAACGCGAAATGTTGAATGTGGAAAGAGTTTTTGAATTAAAATGATAATATTTTCGAATTGAAGATAACTCGAGAATCTTCATCGAGCGATGTTGATTATGCGACAGAACTTCTGGAACGAACTACAGAGGCGGTTAGAATCGGTTAGTTGTTTTTTTCCACGTTTTGAAGGGGTTTGGCGAAATGAAACCTATGAACATTTCGAAACTCTTCTGTTTTGAAACCTACCAATATCATTTCTCAAAAAGTCGCTTCCAAGGGCGAAAAGTTCCAGACTATGGCCTTATCCGCCCCCAATTTGAAGAGGAATTTTTTGGGAAAATTCCCTAGTATGAGCAATAATGAGCATGTATGAGATGTTAGATTTTTAAAAACTGAATTAAATTATCTTAAACCTTGTCATAACCTTTGGTTGAGTTTCGTTGATTTTTTTTGCCGAGATATGAAGCTTTTCACAGTAAACCTTTGAGCTACCGTATCTCGAAAACAAGCCGAGTGAAGATATTCGGTTTTGTTTTCAAAAAAATCCTAAAAATCGTGTTCTACAACATATTTGATTAATTAAAACGCCCTTTTTTCCAACTTAGCCATTGAAAGATATTTTTCGGAGCTAACTGATCAAGTTTTATGGTGAGCGATAAACTCTAACACTACCGCTCTTTTATTTATTTATTTTCAGAACAAAGCAAATAATTAGGGTACAGGTAGGAAGGAAATGATACAACGTTGGACAGACAACAAAGCTAAAAAGGTCATATGGCGCCCTAACGAGCACTTTTTTCCTACCATCAACTCAATTGAGTGAACAATAAACATTAATAATTTCACTTTAGCCTTTGATAGTGCCTCAGAGCACATCGGCGTCTGTTTTTCCGGCGGCGTCGACAGTACTTTTGTCGCCCACGCCGTTCATTCCGCTGCTCCGGCTCATTTTCGTATTGACCTCATCAATGTTGCATTTGGAAGTTCCTCCGAGGTAGTTTCCTTGATTTGAGGATTGGGATTCTGAAAAAAAATTTTTTCAGGATTTTGAAAAAGCTCCGGACCGCACGCGAGCATTATTGTCCTTCAAGTCGCTCGAAGGAAAGTATCCATCAAGGGAATTCCGTTTGATCCTCGTTAATGTTGGCAGCGAAGAAATGTCGCAAAACAGACAAGAATTTATTGCAAATGTACGACTGTCCTTTATTTTCATTTTGATGAGTAATATTTTCTAGGCCGTTTTGCCTGCGACCTCCGTCCTGGACGAATCTTTGGGAGTCGTTCTTTGGTTCGCCTTGAGAGGTCGTGGCGTCGTTTATCAAACCGGAGAAGCAGTAGAGTCAGTTGAAGTTCGAAATGAAATTGAAAAGTTTTTTTTGGATTGAAAACTTATAAACGTATACTGTGGTAAGATCTTACGACGCGTTTTTCGGCGGGAAATTCAAATTTGAACGATTTTTTTTTTCATTTTTATTGTTATTTATTCCATCGAAAATTCTGTTTAAAGCATCAAAGTACAAAAGACTAAATTTTTCTTCACTATATTTTTTCTCCTTTCCGTTCTTCAAATAGTGAAATATTGACGATGAAAGCTTTCAGAACTCCAGCGAAAATGATGTTCCTGGGTTCTGGGGCCGACGAGGTTTTTGCCGGATACGCTAGACATCGGACTCGATTCGAACGAGATAGGTCCAACATCGTGGTCGCCGAGGTCAGTTTCCGTCGGATTCCTGTGGAAAAAAAGATTCTCAGGAATGCGAAAAAGAACTTCGACGACTCGGCTCAAGAAATGGCGGTAGAGACGCCCGAGTTGCTGCCCAGCTCGGCAAGATTATTGTGTAGTTGTTTTTGAATTTTTTCGTAAAATTTTCGAAGAATTATATCGAAATACCTTCACAAAATAATTATCCAACGCTCCGCAAAAAAAAGGTTTGGAAAAATATTAACGTTATGTGAAAACCAATGAAGCAATTATGATTTTAAGTAAAATGAAGATCACGTAATCAAAGTGAAATAAAACTCTGGTCCAATTTATAACAGGTGTGAAACGGAATTATCAGGTGAATTTTGCAGCAAGATTTTTTTAATCCAATTAGGTGAAAAGGATGGATTTGTCAAATTTTGACGTTGATTTCGACTTTGAGGAATTTTTTCATTAGAATTGAAAATATTTTTATTGATAACTTGCAAATTTCGAGAGATTGTCTAAACGCTCAAAATTTTGCATTTTACTTTAAAAAAAGAGAAAATTACTCTCTTTTGGTCAACTATTTGCCAATTTTATCGCTTAAAACATCTTTTTATTTTTTTTTCCCCTGTTCTGAATTCTTTCCATTTTCCAGATCGCCCATCCTTGATGATAAAGTCGTCTCCTGGGCTAATCAGATACCAGTGAATGCAAAGTGGGACTTGGCTTTTCCACGAGGAGTCGGCGAGAAGAAAATCATCCGAGATGTGGGATCAGCTCAAAAAAAAGGAAAATAGATTTTGTTTCAAGGCGTTACGGAAGTTGGGGTCTCCACACGAGGCGCCAAAACAGGCGATGCAATTTGGGTCAAGAATGGCTAAGATGAGCAATGAGAACTCCAATACCAAGGTAATTTTTGTTGGGCTTTCGAACATTTCTTCTCTGTGAACAGGTTAAAAAATTAATTTTTTTTTTCTCACAGAAAGACTGGTGAGTTGTAAATGCGATAGTGTTGAAAGAAAGTTGAGATTTTCGATTTTTTTTTTCCTCTAAATTTTGAAATTTCAAGCCTCTTCGAAAAGGTAGCAGGAAGTTAGCTAACCTGTCACTTCATATTTGATGGAGATTTTCAAAGTCTCTTTACTTATTCATTGACTTTTTGAAAGGAAACTTCAGAAAAAAATAATGAATTTTCAAGGGAAGCGATTCGTCTCCTCGCTTGGAAGCACTTCTCCAAGAGCAATGAGAAGAAAAAATAATGTTTTTTTTCCATTTTTCCACCAATCTTTGCATATTATGTAAGTTGCACGAATGAAACTGTGATCGACTCAAGTTTATTTCCGAGTTCTCTAAGCCTTGTGGGCGTGAGCGCGACGTTTCTTGACGACAACGCGTTTGCGAGCGACCGCAGAGGCGACAACGCGTCGCTTCTTGTGCGAGACGCGATGACGCTTGACGACAGCAGCAGCGCGATGAGAAGCAGCACGACGCGACGCGACAACGTGACGTTTGTAGCCGCCCTCCTCGGTCGAAGGAGCGACTGACGTCTGTGGAGTGCCAGATCTTGGTGGGCATGGGCAGTAGGCAGCTGAAAATCGTTAAAATTAGAAAGAAACTTTGATATTTCTTCACTCACCATCACCACCTGGCTCTCCAGCCTTTCCTGGACCTCCTGGAGCTCCGTCTTTTCCTGGAGATCCAGCTTGACCGGCAGGTCCTGGCTCTCCAGCTGATCCTGGCTGACCGTCTTGTCCAGGCTGTCCGTCTTGTCCCTTTGGTCCGGCTGGTCCTCTGGCTCCTGGTCTTCCTGGCGCTCCTGGTCTTCCGACAGAGCGAGTTCCAGGCTGTCCTGGTCTTCCGGCCTTTCCGCTGCGTCCTGGCTGTCCGGGAGCTCCGTCGTTTCCAGCTGGTCCTTCTGGTCCTGGCTCTCCAGGCGCCGCGGACTCCGCGTCTTCTCCTGGTGCTCCGTCGGATCCTGGCTGACCGGCTGGACCACGAGGTCCTTGGGGTCCTGGAGGTCCGGCTGGGCATTGGATGCATCCAGACTCGCCGAGTGGAGCGCCGACGTTTCCGTCGTTGCCGTTCACGCCGTCCTCTCCAGGATGGCCATTGTCTCCGTCGTGTCCGGGAGGTCCAGGAGGCCCGGGCGGACCTGGAGGACAATTGGCGGCGGCAGCGCTGGCGCCACAGTTGCATTGCGAAGCCTGACGCTTCTCACGTCCGACGAGCATCGAGAAAACTTCGCGTTGCTTTCCCGAGTCGGGAAGTACTCGCTCCATGTCGTGCCAGACCATGTTGGCCTCGTCCTGCAATTTTTCAATTTCGAAACGTAAAGTTAAATTTCGGAAAAAAACACCTCAAATTGTTTTTGCCAGTTGTGCTAATGCTTAATTCTTTCACTGTTAGCTTGAAAAATCGAAATTCCCAGAATCTAAACGAAAAATGCACCTTGAAGACGCGGAGGTCCTCGGAGACGTGCTCATAGTAGTTGTTGACGTCGTTGAAGAGGCTGACGAGGGAGTAGAGGGAGACGAGGAACGTCGCCGACGACGCTAACGCCGCGGTCGACACCAGAATCCGTGCCAACGACATGGTTGTACGAATCCTGGCCGTCTGGCGCCCATTTATAGGGTCGAGGTCGGTTTTCCGCCAAAGTGTAACCTCTTTTTGTCTTCCTTTCTTCTTGCCTTCCAAGGTTAAAAGAGTTCAGGAGGTTTTTCCTTGCCTTGGAACCATGCCTGCTAGCAAGTCCGGAGTATCGATATGCAAAAAACACCGAAGAACCTCCTCTCGTTGGAATTTTCGCATGTTCCTCCTTGCCAAGAATAAACAAAGTTTTTCTTTGAAATAATCATTAATTTGGCAATTTTTATTTACAATTGAAATCGGAAGTTACGAAAAATGTTGGTTGAACTCAGTAGCCGCATTTGTAGATCATCACATTCACCTGTAAATTTTTTTCAAGTTTTTTTCATAAAAAAAAGCGACGTAAAGAAAATGTAACGGAAGTTTATTGCAACTGGATAGGTGATTTAACCAGGAACTCCAGAATTTAATCAGATGTAGGTTTATTTTTGAATATTGGATCGATTTCTCTCGAATAAAAACTTGGGAAAATCCAAGTCATCAATAAAAAAACACAAAAAAAAAACAAATTGAAAATTTTTTTTTCGAAAAAAACTAAGAGCTTTAGCAGGCTGGGAATTTCAGCTAGTTCATCTAAAACATCAAACAAATTTTATAATCATAATTCAGAAAAAACTGTAGTTCGAATTGGGCTTAAACTATTCTTTAAGCTTTCATCTTCTTTTTGAACTTTGAATTTTTTTTTTCTCGACTCGGAAAAGTTCCGTTGGATGTCCAGGTAAAGGACATTCGGGAGGTAAATGATTGACATGCCTTGTTACACTTGAGCAGCAGGAAATGGCCCATCTCGTAGGAGACGCGCGATCCGAAGCACTTGCCGCAGATGACGTGCCACGTCGCCCCCATCTGCTTGTCCAGCTCCTCCTTCACAAACGCCGCCACGTCCTGAAAGGATCTTTTTTCTAAACATTTACCTTTGAAGTCCATATATCCCAAACTTCACAAAATATTTTGTCCTTTACAATGGATTTTCCAATCGTCTCGACATGTTTTATATTCACCCGACTTGAAACGACTTTCGCTTTAGGGTATTGGAAAAGATAAAAAAAAACTTCTAAATGTCAACAGCTGTGGGTTTTCCCCCATTTGGATCGCGACCGCGACGCTTTTAGCCGTTCCAAGTGCGGTCACGGTGTTTCGCGGCAAATGAATTTAAAGGTCAGCTTTTTTTTGTGAATAGATATCTCGAGTCTTTAGCACAAGCTCAAAGTTAAATTTTCTTTAGGAGGCAAAAACTGGTAAGAAAAATGTTTATGAAAAGGTGCGACTTTTTATACGGCTCGACTTATTCGGCTTCATTTTTATTCCAAGCTGAATTTCCAGAAAACAACCATGAGCCAGAAATGAAATTTAGAGAACAAACGACATATTTGAGCTATTTGTCACAGCCATTCACCAATTTATCGCAGCGGGTTTTGAAATTAAATTTTTGCGCCATGAGTAATAATTCAAAAATTCGTCGCATGTACAAAACAAATTTATTCGAACAAAAAGGCGGAAGTGAAGTTTCCACTGTAAAAATCAACAATAATTGCCATTTTATGTTCTATTGTTTCATTGTTTCTCCTGCTTGGGTAATTGGATTTTCGCAGCTTTACACGGGAATTCCAGAAAATTTCTTCTCTTCGCCTGGGAGTTCTTTTTGAGATTAAACAGGAGAAAGAAGGAAAAAAGAAATCGAGTTTGCAATTAGGCTCCAAAATGCGATTATCTAACAGCTAGGAACTTTAAAAAAAAGCTTCTTTCCTTGAAAATTCGAGTGATTTATGTTTTGACTTGATTCTAACTCTACTTGTTATTTTTTTCGTGTTCAAAAAACACGTGTGTCATGTCTTGAAATCGGAGAACACAAAGATGTGTGATATTACTGCAGAAATGAATATAAAAACAAGATGGAGGGAGTTTTATTTTTACGATGGTTTGAGGTTTCACAGTTAGGAAATGTTTGAAAAAAAGATATGTAATGGAGTTTTTTTGACGAGTTACCAATAAAATTGAATTATATTTTTTTAGAATCAAAGAGTTTTACAAGGAAGAAAAATAAAATATTTAGGAAAAAAATATTAAAAAGTTCATCAGATCCATTGACTAAATCGAACATTTTTTCCTAATAGGATTTCCGGAAATTAAATCGGAAATCATTTTTTTATGAGATTGTCTCATCAAATTAAAAAGTTCGCAGATAAATAATGAATAAAAAAATCTTCATTTATATTCAAACTGTTTTTTTGGATTTGAGCTTCCTCGTTTAGAGAATGGAAAAAAAAGGAGATAATGATTTTTTTAAGGAAATATTTTTCGAACAAAGCGCAAAAAAGTTTCAATAAAGAAAAGTGATTGAGAGATTATCTTGGCTCAGTTCCAAAAGAGGTTTGAAGCATTAACAAATAGTGATGCGATGCACAAGATAAAGATTCTGAACTTTTCAAACTGTACAAATTCGTATTTATTGAGAAAAACCGCTTTTCCATTGACTCTCATCAAGGAGAAAAATTTTGAAGCTTTCAAAATAGGGATTTTTTAAAGGAGCCTTTCAGGTTCATCTGAAACATACATCATTTTCAAAGCTTTCTGCAATTATGAGTAAAATTAGGAGCTAATGAGGAACAACTTTGAGGGAGCATTTTCTAACCTTCAGGATTTCTAATTTAGTTCAAGTATGAGAAGGTTTAAAGAGACCTCTTTCTCAAAATAAAGATATTTTACTCTTCTGAGATGTGACTTGAAAATTCTTTGAAGATCAGGTTGAAGGCCCAGAGATACGTAAATTGTGGAACTATATTCAGCGATGGATTTTGAACAAGAGATCCTATCACTAGAGTTCGAATAAATCTCCTACCAAGGCGGAAGTAAATGAGCCAACCTTGTCGATGTTGTAGAGCCGCTGCGCTTCGCGGACGATGCCGATGACGGTGTTCTGTTCGGCGTCGTCCATGTCGGACTCCTTGACCTCCATCTTCTCCTCAGACATTTTAGAAATAGAAGCGGAGGACGACGAGATTAGGACTGATCGGAGTGGGAAACCGGAGGCTCACGCAAAAAGACTCGGCACGACAGGCGGTCGGCTGAGGCGAAAAACGAAAAATGTGCAACGGCGAGACAAACTTTTTGATGTGATGCATTTGTGTGACCCCGCCTCTACTTTTGCTTCTTCTTCTTCTTTTTTTTCTGGTTCCTGGTTTCCCGACCTCGCTCAAAAGATATAGGTTGGTATCTTCAAAGTCATAATGAAATTCGCTAGCTGATAGTCAATTTGCAATAGATTTTGGCTCCGCAGAAGAAAAGGTTGATCTTGGTCTCCAAAGTTTTTCAGCGTCTGTGGCTTCGTCAAAAAAAAAATCTTTGTTGGGATAGTTCTTACAGAGTTACTCTTTAAAATCAAAGCCACGTTAAAACTCGTGAAATTCGAAAATTTGGAATCTAAAAATAAAATTTTCCGAAATCGCTCTGACTTCACTGCCCAATTTTTCCTACTTTTATCTTTCAAGTATAATTAGTTCATTACTTTCGTTTTTCAACAATTTTTACTGAGTTTTTTGAAGAAGAAGAGATTCTTCGAATTTATCGACGCTAATTTCATTCGATATGTCATAAAATTCTGACTAGTAAAATTAATGATTTGTCTTAAAGATCTGTAGGAGCGGTTTAAAATTTTCACTGAAAAAGCTTCTTTTTTTGCCTTTGAGAACCTTAAAAAATGCATACTACTTTGAAATCCAAAGAATTCTGCTTAACTAGAAATAAAAATGAAAGACGCTTTTCGCCGCGAGACCTTTGTGAAACTATGCTTCTTTGAGGAATTTTCAAAACGAGGTCATCAAAAATTAACATACTTAAAAGTCTCAGAGAAATGTCAAAAACAAGACCAAAAAAAAACTCTAACACATTTAAAGAGCGGAAGCAAAGAACAGAAAAGGAACGAAAAGCTCGAGGAAAAAAGGACGAACCGGAAGCAAGACAAAACGGTGGGCATTTAAGACCGATTCCTCGCCCCCAAACTGATTTCCAACCACTTTTCCAGGGCAATTAAATTTGTTCGGCAGAGGGGGGGAGAGCTATGGCAAAAAGAAAATAGGAGGCAAAAAAGAAGCTCTGGACGGATTGCCGACAAAGCCAAGACCCAACGAAAATGGAAAGAAAGCCCATTAATCTTTAATCTCATTCGAAAAAAAAAGCAAAGTGCTGGTTGGACCTGAACGATGTTTTACTTCCAAGTGGGAAATTCACTTTTTCTCTTTCGGTTTCCTCGGTAGCGTCGAGGCGAGCGTCCGATGCAGGAATTCTTTGTTCGTTCCCAGACTCTTGGGTCTGAGCCTGCAATCCCTTGATTTATTTGGCACGAAAAAAGGCGGTCGGTTACCATCCTTGCGGCCCTGAGGCTTCTGCCCGCTCTTTTGCTCGTTTCGCCTCAAAAATCAAGCTTGCTTTGGCCTAAAAAGTGTTTCAATTAAACATAGTTCTCAAAAAAAGTTGTCAATTTCCTACAAAGACAGGAGAAGTTAGTCCGTTCGAAAAAAAAGTTAAAAGGCGCAGCGTTCTCGGGTGACTGAGAAAAAAACTAAACACGGTTTTTTTGAAACAAAATTTTTGGATTTCGGTATAAATCCTTGAAAAGGAAAAACAAAACCGCAAACAGAAAAAAACTTTGAATTTTTGGAAAAAAATTAAATAAAAAGTTTTAAAATCTTCTGAAATTTCGTTCTAAATTTTTTTCAACTTCTAGCAACAATGAAAGCTGGCAAATGAAGAACGAAAACAAAGAGTTTGAAAAAAAAGTAAAAACGACAAAAATTATATAATTTGACCCTATTGCGTCAGACTGTTTGCGTACCTGACGGCGTGATCGACGACAATTTTTCAACTTTTTAAAAATTTTTTAAAAAAACAATTTTTTTATTTTTTTGGTTGTCTGCTATATAGTTCATTCACAGCTGGCTTGAGAAATCATTTTAAGGATTTCAAAAGAGACAAGGGAACGTTTGAAAGCTTTTGTAGTAGTTTTTGGAAAAAGAAAATGTATCAGAAAACCACCTTTTTTTAACTTTTTGTTGAGGCGTCTCAAGGCGCAGAGTTTGGAGTTGATTCATAAGAAAATTTCAAAAAAATTAAAAAAAGCAAGAATTACTGAACTAACCGAATGAATTTAACATCCTTAACAGACTTTAAAAAAAACCCAGAATGAAAAAAAGTAATCGAAACCTTTTTGGCTTGGACGTCTTCCGTTTCAATTTTCTCATTTTTTAGATTTTTCTTCCCGGATGGCTCTTTACTTGTAGAAGGTTCTTCATCACATGAAGAAGATTCATTCTGAATAATATCAAAGAGAAATTTCACATGGTAAAAATAAACATACCTGCGGAAGAATTTCGATTTTTCTTTTCCTATTTAATAGGGCCTGAATTTTTTTATTCTTCGATCGCGAGTCGTCCATTCCCCATAATCTACTTGAAATCGTGTAATTTTCATTTTTTTCAATAAAGCTTTGACTGACACAAAACACTTTTCAAAAAATCAAATAAAAACGAGCTTGAAAAAAGAAAACTTCATTTTTGGTCATACTGATTTCGTTCCGCTGACTGCGAAAAATAGAAAATATATTTTATATACAAGGGGTTCAATAACACGATATTGGGGCTGTCACGAGAAATAATCATGAGGCAAGTGAATGTCAATCTTCGACGGAATTACGCTGGAAGTCAGGAAAACAAAAATTGTGGCAATTTTCAAGGTAAGTGAATTTTGAGCAACTCCATATAGACTGGAAAGGAACAATACTTATTATACCTCGTTGTTAAGTGAAGAAGAATACACATAGCTCATATTCAACACCTATACATTTATGGCCTAAAAACATGAAAAATAACAAAAAATGATGACTTTTGGTCCTAAACTTCTGAAGAACCATTGGAATTTGACAATCATATTTAGGAGAGACTGGCAAAAGAAAGAGAAGATGAGATGAACCCCGTCGGAATTTGAAATGTGGAACAAGAAAATTTTATAAGATATAAATACCTACAAGAAGCATTCAGGAGCAAATTATGAGGACTACGAGATGACTAGAAACATGAAATAATGACAAACCGAAGTTCAATGACATGATAATGGAATTAGTTTACTTCACAAGGTTCTTCGACGACGCCGCTGTCCAAAGAATTGAAAGAGAGCCGCCGAAACGAGGCGTTTTGTGCCCCGCCGCTTTGTAAATTCTGCAATAAAGATTCAAAATGAAATTAGAACAATATTTTTATTGTTTCGAGCAAAAAAAGATTTTGCTAACGTTTTTTTGAGAGCCTTCAATAATATGAATCAACACTAAGAAAAGGCTTTCTGTGTGAAAATAGGGTAACGTTTCTTTTCAAAAGAACTTTCTAGACACTACAAAGAGAAAACACCAAACAAACCGGTTTCAGGGATTCATCCATATCGGGCAAGCCGCTGTCCCTCTGCGAGTCACTGCGAAGCGTGTGACGCTCAAGTTCGACCTAAAAGTCAGTGTTAACTTCTTTTTATTTTGACCAAAAAATTCCAAGTAAAGTTACTCGGATCTCGTTAATGAAAGCGGGACGCGCTCCGAGCGTTTCGGAGCATTTCTAGGGATCACTTAGTGTTGACGCTACTAATGTGGTCACTAGAAATACTCCGACACGACTGATTCGCGTTATAAAGGTCACAGTAGATTGAAAAATGAAGGTTCAAGAAAAAAGCCTATATACCTCCAAACGGACTTGCTCCATTTCGGTGGCTTCTCTTATCGATTCAGCGATATCGGCCACGAATCGACATCTGTAAATTTCGAACTTTTTTTTCGAACTGAAGAAATTATAAAAATTGCATCCTATGTGAATCTTTCAACAAAAAAAAATAAATCAAAAGTCTACCAAAAACTGAAAAACATCGAAATTATACTGAGCTTTTCTAATAGTCTTGAACCAACAGGGAACCATGTGAAAAATGAGATACTATTATAATTACAAGTTGAAACAGCAAGCATTAGTCATAATGAGCTTCACAGAAAGAATGAAAAACGAACCGATCCTCAAAGTTCCTGGCGTTGAAATGAAGCTTCTGCTTGTCGACACAGACAATCGTCAGGCCGAACTCATATTGTCCTTTCTTCAAAAGCTTCTATTTTCGGGGAAAATACTCGAATAGGTACCTGAAACTCGTGAATTGTCGCGCCGTAGAGCATCGACCAGTGCTTCAAGGTGTACGTGGCGCCGCTGATCACCGACGTCCGTCGCTTCGTCATTCCTTTTCCAACCTACAGAATCAGTTTTTCCTCGAAAATCTAATCTTTCGATTTCATAGATTTCTCGTTTTCGTGAGATGTATGAAAAAGTTATAAACAGATTGAACTAACTTAATTAAGATCGAAGTTCTTGTTGAACCTCCTGAATTTTACTAAACGGAACCTTTTTTCAACTTTTACCATCTTTCAAAACCAATTTTTTTCTCTGTCAGGTTTTTTGAACTAAACAGACAGGTCTGAAAAGGACATGAAAAATCGTACAACGATCATGTCGTTGAACAAGAAGACGTCGCGTTCTCGGGCCGAAGAAGACTGTCTTTTGGACGGGTCGAGGACTTGTTGGAGGCGACAGTAGCAAACCAGACGACGTTGGGTCTCCGTCAGCCGCTGGAAATCAATTTGTATTCCGTTTTCCACAAAATACTGCGCAGAATCTATAAAATAAGTCCAGACCGGTTTATCCTTCCCGATGATGGCTCGGTCGACGCGAGCGACTTGGGCAACGTGGTCATCCCCCGGACGGAGTTCGTCCTTTCGTATCCTCTCGTAGATTCCTTCGAGAAGCTCCCTGTAAAATAAAATGAATCTTGAAACAGGAAACATCAAAAATGCTGAAATTTCGAAAAAAAATTCTTTTTTCAAACCTGTTTTTTCGAAAGGATAGGAAAAATAAATAAGATAAGATATCGATGAAAATAAGAAAGAAGTTCATATTTCTTCAAAAAGTACTCAAAATCGGGAAAATATGAGGAAAAATCGAGAAACAAGTTTAAGGTGTTTTTTCTAAATTTGAAACATCTCAAAACCACAGAATCGAGAAAATTTCAATGTTTTCATTCATTTCCAGAAGTCTAAATTTTTTAAGTTCTAATTCGTTATTCTCCAGAATCTCCTACCGATTGATGTCTTTGCCCTCTTTTTCGCCCGGAGCCTTGTCCTGGCCGCGAAGGTTTTTGACGAAATCCTCTTTCTTCATCCGATGCTGAAACGACTTCTTCAGAGAACTTTTCTAAAGTTTATCTTGCCTTAACGTTGGGAGAATGGAGGTCCGTGTTGAGCATGATGATGGCGAAGGAAAGGAGATGAACAGTGTCCCATCCTCCGCGGAACTGAGACGTCCTTTTCGGGTTATTCTTCGCGTAGTGGATGGCGAAAGCCTGAAAGGTACAAATGAGCAAGTCTAGAACAAACTATTTTCGGGAAGAATCAGAAATTGAAAATATTCGCGAGAGGTGAGAATGTAAGTTCAGGAAAGTTCAGAAAATTGAACTTTCAGATTGGTAAAAACTATTATTTTGGATCTTAAAATTTTATCTTATTTCTTGAAAAGAGCAGTTGAAATTTGCAGAGTCTGAGCCCTGTGTCATCTTCTCCCTACTCAAATGGTGCACAAATTTCCTAAAATTAAATTTTAGCTTGTTTAAAAGCTTAGAAATAAAAATATTCCTTAACCTCAAAGATTTTTCGTCTCTTACTAAATACTTTCTAAATTTCGCCCATGCTCCTCTGAGAAACTTTTCCAAGACGTTTAATACCTGGATAATCCTGTCGATCTTCTCGGCCTCCTTGGGAAGAATGAAAAACTGCATTGCCTTGCGTAACGCGACATCGATCTCCAGGCCTCGGATCTCGACTAATGAGATGAAATACCTAGAAAAAGACTTATCAAGGCTGATTATATAAGAAAAACCAACTTTAAGACTAGGTTATGGAAAGAAGAGTGTAGTGTGCCAATGTACTCGCCGATCATGAGTTTACTCAGACCACGGCGTCCAAATAACAAATGAGCCAAGGATTCTGGGACCGCGTCAACGAAACCCCATGACGTCAGAAGTTGGACTCCACGTTCGGGTTTTCTGAGAAAAAATATATTTATACACTGTTAAGCTTGATAACTGAGCTATTGAGAAATATTCTTGCGAGCTTTATTCAAATGATTTTCACGTACTGACTAGGATACGTTTGAAAAAATCTAAAGGGTCAGTCGGGTCAATTTAGGTCTCTTTGCCGTTATTTCTTGAGTGAAAGCTCATGGAACTAATCTTTATGTTCAAGATTCGAGAAAAAATCGAAGTAACTAAGTCAAAAATTTTGTATGATTTTTACTAATTCTTGAAAGGAAGCCCATACATGATGTGCTTTGATAACTTCGAAGACCAAAACATCATATTTCGAAAACTAAGATCTTTTACATTGCTGAATAAGGCTAGAAGACCGAACATTTGTAACCTAATCTTGTCATTCAATTTTCCTCAATTCTTCCCCATAAGAAAATCAACGCCTCTGGTCAAGATTCAGAGGGTATAAAATCCCCCATAACCAAACAAAACTAAAATCAAAGCAAGCAATGAGGTGGGCAAACAAGAGTGTACCTGTTGAAGAAATTCAGAGCAATACGATACTGGCGCTTGCGTTCCTGCTCGGAAACGGGCCGCGGCGGTGTGGATGACAGCGTCTTGCGCGGCGTTCGGTTCTCGCTGCAAGATTCGCGGATATTTGTCGCGACGTTGCAACCAACTCGTTGTGGGGCTGGACGCGGTGTTTGTCGAGCCGAGGTAACGAGTTGGAGTGAGCCGGGTTGTGAGTCGCGAGCGACGGTCGCGGCAGCCAGACTTCCGACGCGACTCCGTGTTCGCCGCCGTCGTGCAGTCCGGATGGACCGCCGCCGCGGACGAACCGCTTCTGGCCCAGTCGCGGTGACATCAGGCTATCTGAAACGGCTCAAATGAAGTCTAATAAATAGCCATCTTCGGGAACACTTGTCAATTCCCTTGTATCTTATGTTCTATGTAACCGAGTGAAATTCATATTATTAATTTTTAAAAAAAATCTGATACGATTTTAAACATTTGGACGTTTCTTTTCAGAACTTTCCTACCGAGGCTTCTGACTTCGCAATGTATCCTGCTTCCAAAACTTTTCGAGAAATGCCTTCAAATTGACTAATTCTAAAACTTGATAGCTTGTATAAGGAATTCTATCCACATTCCTTACAAACATTATCAAAAAACTGTGTTTTCAAGTTGGAAAGTTATATGGAAAGTCCCTGGTCCTGTCATACATAGGAAAGTCTCGGTAGGACCTGAAAAAGAGAGAAGACATGGCAAAAGAAAACGAGAAAGGGGGGGGGGGCAGGTTAGCAAAAACCGTATGAAAATTTTCAGAGTGCGCGCTGTACAGCGCTAGTCCGACCTTAGAAAAAAAAAGAAATAAACATTTAAAAAAAATTGAAAATTGATCCTGTTAAACTGTTTGAGAAAAAAAAAAATGAGGATCAAAAATATCAGGACAAAAACTTATGCCAATTTTTTTCCAAAAGATCCATTTTCTTTGAATAAAAGATATATAAATTCAGAAAATAATTATGACTTCCTTTTTATTCAGTCCCATCGAACCGTTGTGAAGTTATATCAGATGAAAAATGAAGCCAAATTTTTGTGATCCTCGGCACATTTTTCATATTTAGAGCCCAAAAGAATGAAACAAGTTACTTTTAAAAAAAGTCGAAAAAAAAGTCTTAATTGGGTTTGGAACTTTTTTTGAAGGAAAAGCGCCAAGTGAGCAGCGGAAAACGTGAAACTAAAGGTCGTGTACTAGAATAATTACGCCGAAGGTCTTTGTCCTCAAAATCAGAAAATCGGAGGCTTCTCAGGCCGGCCAATTGCCACGCGCACCTGCGGCGACTTGATTGATAATCGCATTTGCCAAACGTTCGAAAAAGACAACTGGCCTTTGAGAGCTCTTCTTCTCACGTAAAATCGAAAGAGAGAAGGAAAAAAAACAGTAAACAAATAGTTTCTATCATATTTTTCCTTTTTCTTGTTGATTATGACAAAACGAGTTCCGAATCAAATCCAAGAAAGTCGAACCATAGACTCGAGGTTCTGGAGCATTTCTTCACTTGTTCAATTGAAAATCTTCGAAGTCAACCGCTTTTCAGATATTCCAGTGGAAAAATTGCGTAACCAGTCAATCGAAAATCTTGTCAGATGGAGAAAACTCGACCAAAAGTGTGAAGCGAAAAAGGGGTAATAGGAGATAATTTTTTGTTGAAAGCCGTAAACTAATCAGAATATCCGACAGGTGAAGTAGAAGAAATCAAGAAATGCATGAAATTTGAAAATCTAGTTCAAAAAACCTTAAAAATAATGCCTCTTTTTTCTCTCAAAAATCAAAGTTTTGAAGAGAACTCGTTGAAAAGTGAGTATATATATTTATCCTTATTAGTTAAGATTATGAGTCATATCCTTGTCAATAGCCGAATCAAAAAAGGAAGATGGTGCCTCAAAAAATTTGTTTCCACAGAAAACGGGAAAAATTATTTTCTTTCGGGGGAATCAAGGTACACCTCAAAAAACTTGCAAAAAACTATCAAACTCGTTGAATCGCTCTTCCCGTGGCAGAGAGCCTCTTGAGGGGTTCAAAGGTGAGAATTCCAGAGAGGAAACACATTCGAATCCAGTGTCGATCACGTGAATGAGAAAGAGGCAAGGAGAGATTTTTTTCGTACAACAAGAAATATGAAAAGACAAACCGATGGTGGTGTTGTTCTGGAAATGATTGATGGCGGAAGGCGCCGGCGAGGGAGGACTTCGCTCCAAAGTGTTGGCCCGAGTGGCCCGATCGGCTCGCAGTTGGGCGCTCAAACTCGTCGCCGCCGCGTATCTACTGAAATCGAGGCTTCTTTGATTAAAAAAATATTCAATATTTGACTTCACATTGCGAAAAAAAGTTTTGCTCTGAGTTTTTGCAAAAAAATTTGGGCTAATTAAAAAAAATTTTCAAGAGTTGAAGTTGAAAAAAAGAATAGACAAAAAAAGTAATTTCAAACACATTTTTGATATGAGAAATTCGTATTAAACAAAAAAATGCAAGTTATATCAAAGTCATAAAGTTATTTTCGAGCTGTCAGAAATTGGATTAAACGCAATTCTTTTTCAACGATCACATTCATTTTTCCGCCTGAAGCGGAATCAAACCGCTATTTCAGTCACTTAACAATAAATTCTTGTTTTTTTGAACTGTTAGAAGAAAATAAAAAAAATTTATCTGGGATTAGATTTATTTTTTTAATTTCTTTTCAAATTCAAAGTTTTTTTATCTTACCGTAGGATTTCTTTCGAAAAAAACATAGGTTCGGCGAAAGAAAGTCCAGTTTTTATTCTCAAATTCTGACGTTTCTTAGTTTCCAACCTTCTCATCATATCTACAACTCAAATAAAATAATCTTGATTCGAAAATCGAAAAAAACTCGTTAACCTATAAAAAAACCTTTTTGAGAAAAAAAGGTGTTTGTAAAATAAATTCCGGTGAGAAATCTGCAAAAATTTTTTTGAGGTCAGTGGAAAATTCATCCAAGATTGGAGGTGTGGTATTTTTTTGAGAGTAAGATTTTTTTGCGCAACGAGATTTAGCGATCAAAAGAGAACTTAATTTTTAATCTATCAAAATTTATGGCGTTTTTCCAGCAAACACAACGTTATTAGCGTAGATTGATATGAGAATACTGAAAACAAAAAAATTGGTTCTTACTAGATTTTTTTCTAGGAAATTTTTTTCCTTCTGTTACGTTAAAAAGTAGGAAAAAAATGGTTTCGCAAGTTTTTCAAACGTTTCGAGAAGCAAAAAAAGCGCAAATCTGGGTAAAGTCATCGAATTGGAAGGTAAAAATGATGAGAGTAAACAGAAGGGGGCAACGGGGCAATGGGTCGAAACGCTTCGGGGCGTCGGAATCTGCTTCGGTGACAGCTCCTTCAACGTGACGTGTTATTTACAATTCCTGTCAAAAAGTGGTCAGAACTTCGCATGGTTTGACCCGGGGCTCAGCGAGAGAAGTGCGCAATCCCGAGGAAAGAAATCACTTTTTTCGGTTCAAAATGTGTACCTGCTCGTTTGGAATCCGTCATTCGCTCGTGAACCGTTGGTATATTTACAGCTCTCGACGCCGTTGCCACTGCAAGACATTTTTTAAAAATAATATTTGCACGAAAAGTGTTTGAAAAAGACAATTAAGGGTTTTTTTTGCCTATTTTCCATCCTAGAACTTCCGAGTTTTACTGCTTCTTTCAAAAAAGTTTGCCGAGCTTCTTGAAAAAAGCATAAAAATATCTCAAAATAGCCGCAAAGCAAAAAAAAAAATCATTTTAGGTCATCCGAAGCTTCAATCCATGCTTAAATATTCCGAACTGGCGGTTTTAACATTAAGAACTAGAAAAGAAAAACTTCAATAGAACAAAAATTCCGAGTTTTGATTCCACTTGAAGAACAGTAACTTTATGTTAAGAAAAAAAATTACCCGGATTTTTTTCTCAAAACAAGAAATTCAACCTTTAAAGACACGCGATTATTCAGAAATGACACAGGGAAAATGAATGTTTCATGATATTTTTTTCAACTCAACAAAATAAATTTTTTTAGTATTAGAGAATAAAATGCTCAAGTGAAGACCAATTATCCCCTTATATTGCTTTAAAGTTTTCAGAAAACTAATTTGTCGATTTTTAAGGAGAGTGGGCAAAAAAATAACGCATTATCGAGAGCAAGTGTTTTCAGTGTGATTTTCTATAAAATTGAAAAAAAAAAATAATAATGAATTCGTGATGATAAAATATCGAGAAAACTAAACGCGAACTTCTGATTTTTTTCCTGAACTCTCGAAACTTCTAAGAAAAACAGTAGAAGTTTACTTGATGACTGGAAAAGTAGTCATCCGGGTCCATCTCTTGCGCAAACAGTACTCGCGGAACGCTCTCTGGATCACAATGGCAGCGCTGTGCGCCCTGCCGCCGCCGTACCTGTTCTCCAGCACCTGCAAAGAAGAAAATCTTCAACAAAATCCCAGCAGAAAGTATTGAAACTTGATCCATTCAAAATCAAAAAGGCGCTTCTATAAAGCCGTGTTCAAAGTGATTCTGTGAAATTAAAAAGAGCAGTCCAAGTATGGAAAAGATCTTGAATTTTGGAGAGTCAGAGATAATTTTGAATTTCACGGAAATCACATTGAAAACGGGATGGAAAGCGTTTAAAAAATGAAATAGAATGGAATAAAGCTACACGAAAAAACGTTTTCATACAAAGAAAGGTTTTCAATTGAGTTGAGATTTCACAAAAATTTACTTGAAGAATATTTTATATATTGTTGAAAAAAGGCTTCTTCAATTCCTCTTTTAGCCAATTTATGAAGCCTCAAAAGTAAGCTTGCTCTGAAATAATGAAAAAGGAGGAATTTTTCGTTTTTTTCAAAGCTTCAAAACTCAACAGAAAAAGAAAAGGGGTACTTTTTTGTTTACTTGAAAAAGTTTTCCTGCAGACTTTCATAAAATTCTCAATTGGTCACCTAAAAATTTTTCATTTGAGTAGAAGAAATAAACAATCAACACAAAAATTGATGAAAAAAAATCTTTTTCTCTAAGAAATAATCTATGAACACTCAAAGTTTTCAACCTTGAAAAATTACAAAACAAGAAAACAAGAAAGAACAAATCCGGTTATGAATAAAGAAACACTAAATCTAATTAGCATGAACAGATTTTGTTAAGAAACCGACCCGCATATGTCGCATCGAAAGTTCATCGGAAAGTTGGTAGCCCTTCTGAACGAAAACACGTGAACTGGACGTTGTTCCTCTCCAGTCTTGTGAAGGCCGCATTTTAGCCTTGAAAAATGAATAATAACATCATACTGTTTAAAAAATTTTTTCGCTGCCGCTTGATTCCACACAAAATCAGCATCAGCAGAGGAAACGCGCTGACGTATCGCAAAGAGAAAAAAAATGGAGTCACAAATATTATTCAGGGGAATGGAATGCGTGACGATTTCAATGAGAACGCTTACGGCCTGTATCGTTTCGAAACTTGGTTCGAAAATGCACATATTTATTATCATAAAAACTAGACATTGGCGATAAGATAATATTATTCATTGAACTAATTTGAGGCAATCTCCAACGATAACGAAAAAAGATTCAAAATATTTCATTTCAAACGTTTAAAGTGATAATCAATTGAAGTTCTGGGTATGAATAAGATCTTAATATTTAAAAATTGATGACCTTTGGAAACAGACGAGAATGAAAGCGACAGAAAGAAAATAAAAGTTGGAAAAAACAACGGAAAAAAAGTGGTTATGATTTTTTTTTAATGTCGTCGATTGTAGTGTCGAGTACGTAAGCGTCGGATCTGACGTCTGTCGAAGACGTTTTCATTTATTTTTTTTGTTCTTGGCAAAATCACCTCAATTCAATTGCTTCACGCTGCTGGTACTAAATTCTACGCGACGGCTACGTTTTGCAAAAAGGTCGGTTTATTCTCGATCTTTAATTGAATTTTACTAAGTGTTATCATAAGCCGAAAGGCCTTTGGGAAGAAAGCATCTTTTAAATTTTTGACAAAGTGCCCTTTTTTGAATTCAAGATGATGGATCAAGCGAAAAACGTACAATTTCACGATCAGAAATTTTTTACGAGGGCTTCGCAACATATGGGGAGGCATATGTCGGATGGGTTGTTTGTCTTTCAGAATCGAATATCAATTCGGAAGCAATATCAAATGCGTGATTCAGAAAAAAATTGAATGAGGGAGATTCAAAATACGTACGCAAGAGACGTCCGAAGTGTATCGAAGAAGTGAAAAAGTCGTAAGAGGGCCGTTGGAAAAGGGAAAAGCGGCAGTATAAAATGTCGTGCTGGGGGGCGAGAACTAGCAGGCAAAGTGCCAAATTTCGGCCCCGTCACCTTCGAAACGAGTCGAAAGAAGTATTGGCGTCGTATTATACAGTGATTGAAATGAAGAAAAAAACAAGGGGATGGTTAACGAGAGAGAAATATTTTTATCATTGAGAGGGTGCAAAATAACGCGAAACATGTACGCAAATGTTAACTGAAAAAGAAAAAGCGATTAGTCGGCCCGTTTCTCTTCAAACATAGTTTGGAAACATTGCAAAAATAAACACCATCGAAGCAAAAGACGTGAGAAAAAGGAGCGTTTTTTGAATAAATGTGTGAAAAAATAAAAAAAAATGTAATGGTCAATTTTTATGTTTCCTGATTTGATATGATCCTAATACGGCGCTGAATGAACTCAATTTGCAATAAAGGAAAAAAAGGTATAATTAGAGAAAAAAAGAAGCTTTTTTGAAATCCATCTATTCGAAAATTATGCAAAAAGAAGAACGAAAATTGTAGAAAAAAGGAATTTCTATTAATTTTCTGCAAATTATAATTAATTGGTTGAAAAAACGAATTAATCATAATTTGAAAGCTAAGCCTAAAGTAAAAGCAACCAGTTATTAAAAAAAAAGCATAAAAAGGGTTGTTTGAATTCAATAATTATTATGAAAAATCAAAAACAAAAAGGAAAAAAAGATTATTTGGAGTTTATTATACAAATAATTTTGAATTGAAGTTTTTCGCGGATAATCCGATATAAAATTATTACATTCTCTACTTAATTCTGCCCTTTTTCGCTAATAGTGTCGAGGTTTTTATCAAACTTTGTTTCAAGAGAAAAAAAACAATCAAAGAAAGGGATACCAAATCAGGAACACAATTTTCGGAGCAAAATTTAAAAAAAAAGAAACAAAAGGAAGCAGAGGTTGAAGTGGGAGAGAAACAGAGGAAAGGATGATTTTTGGCAAGGCAAATGGCGCGAGAAATCGAAAGCGGAAAATGGAGAGGGACGGGAATAAATGCATGGATGCATGCGGTGGCCGTTGCTTATTGAATGGAGGGTGGCAATGGATGGGGGCGACGATGACGACCGGCCGACCGATCGATTCCCTCTGCAGCTGCAGTTATCACAACACCGACCTCTGGCCTGTCCATCACCTCGATCACATCGATATCAGTTTCTTTGGTTCGAAAAATCCCCTTTGATCAGAACTCCCTACGACTTCTCCAAGAGACACTGATCACTTTTAAATTGGCTAATTGAAACTTTTTGCTCCAATTAACTAATCAAATTCCGACGCGAAGTTCCTTCTAATTAGCTTATCAGTTGCAGACGCGCATTCCTAATTAAGGGTTTTTCCTCGATGAAATTAGCTGGAAGACTCTATTTTAAAATTAAAAAATGGACAATTTTTTGGAAAGTCTTTCAAAGCTGAAAAATTTTTCGACCCTAAAAGTTTTATGTTTTTGGCTTTTTCAGTTAAACACAAAAAAAAAATAAAGCTTTTTTTTTACAATCTTTTATGGTTCAGCTTATCGAGACGTTATGGCGAGTCATTCGCAAGAAGATAAGACTCCATTTTTCTTTAAAATTCAGGAGTAAATAAGACATTTTCGCGATGGTTCTAAAGAAAAGGTTTAAAAAGCCTTCTTTGAGACTTGGAAAGTAGTAGAGTTATTTAAAAAAAACAAAAATGGTTTGGACGGCCAGTAATAATGGACTTACTGCAGAAGACGTGAATCATTTTGAACCATCTAAAATAAAGTGGAGAAATCTAAAGTCAAGCCTCAGAACCGCAACTCTTTCTGTATACAAAACAAACACAGTTTTGTTTTGAGAACGCTGTTCAGAATGGCCGTCGGACGGCTAACTTGAAAGAAAAAGATTCCCAGGCTGGGAAAAGAAAAAACGGTGTAACCTACGTTGTCCCATTCGACACTTTTTCATGGGAAATCGCCTTCGCCTTAATATTCTCCGGCCGATCGTAAAGCCTTTTTCTCATCGTTCATCGCTATCTCTCCGTTTGATCGCGTTTGGGAAATGATTTGTCGACATTGAAGCTGAATTATTATCTCCTAAAGCTTCAAGCCGGGGGGACGATTGTAAAGATCAGCTGTTTGTTTGGGTCAACGCCAGAGAAACCTTGTCTTCATCATTGGGAGGGTAAAAAAGTTCAAGAAAGATAATTTGCCCGAAAAATATTTACCAGATTCACAAGTCAACAAATACAATAAACAAATGTGTATGAACACTTTGTGTCAGAGTTTTGAGAGGAGATCAGAGGTTGACAAAGATTTTGACAAATTCCTCGTAGTCGATCTCGCCGTTACCTGAAAATCAGCTGGCTTGAAGGAAAAGTGAACAAAAAAAACATATGCCGAAGGAGAGAGGTTAAAAAAATTTGAATTTTGCTTGCAATTATCGAGTTTTTCCTCTTGAATCGGCAGATCTTTGGAAAGTTCAACTTTTTTTTTCTCAGACAAGAAGGTTTTGAAGAGAGATAGAAGGCCTCTAAAGTCACTTGTTAAGTTAAGAAGTTACAGAGAGGCCAGATTTTTCCAATTATGACGAATGAATTATCTGAGCCTTATGTTTTTATAGAAGAATCCAGTGAATATTTTAGAAGACGTCAGAGTGATCCCTATAGGGGTCCAGGGAAAAAAATCCCCAAAAAAAGTTTTCCCTATAGAGGTTCAGGTGGTCCCTATAGGGGTTTAGGACTTGACCCTAAGGCCCTGAAGCTCAAGTGGTCGCTATAAGGCTTTTAACTTTTCGTCATATTTGACAATTTAAAAGAAAAACTTAAAATCGGTTACTATTGATATTTGGTGCAAAAGTGGCCCCTATAGGGAAAGGTTAAGTGGTCGCTAGAGGGAAGCCTTTGAGAGTATCAATATAGTTACCACTTTGGAGTTCTTAAGTCCCTCTCATAATTAAATGAATACCGAAAAATTATATTCAGATCCTAGAAATGGCTCACCGTCGCAATCGACCTCGCTCATCATCTCGTCGACTTCGGCCTCGCTGAACTGCATCCCCATGTGCACCTGAACATCTCCAGCTTCTTCCCAAGGTGAATTCCACAAACCATGAAGACTTTGAACTCGTTGGCCGTGATGACGCCGTTACCGTCACGGTCAAAGACGCGGAAAGCCTCCCGAATCATCTCCGAGTCGGTGTCTTTCATGATTCTGCAAAACTCTAACTAAATTGTGATAAAAAATCATTTTTCTTTGAATTCGGAACCAGATGTCCAACCTTGGATTGATCATCGATTTTCTAGATTTTGAAACGTTTTCGAGCAGAGTTATCATTGAAGCGTTGCGGTTTAATTGGCTCTACTTTATAGTCACCTTGAAGCTTTTTGAAGCTCTTTAAAGAACTTTCTAGCGTCTTTTTTCAGTCGAAAGGTCATTAGAAGAGGTAATTATAGGTCGAAGCAACACGGAAAAGAAAAATCCTTGTAAAAGGGAGGACTTTAGAGCCAATAAACAGAGTCATCTGCCAGAAAAGGGGAGAATAATAAGCAGGGAAGGAGCTTTTTGCACCTTTTTGAAACGTTTCAACAAGCTTCTTTTTTGTTGAATTTTCGTCGAAGGTCTTCTCAAAACCTCATTCGTTTATGAAAGAAACTAAGGCCTAACAAATTTTTAAAAAAATTTTTAAGATTATAAGTCGATCCATATTAAAAATGGGCTTATTATTAATCAAGTTTAGAAATAACCGAAACAAGTAATTTTTCCAACAGACTTTCATTCAGGTTTCGCAGAAAAATAATAAAATTGGAGTTTGGCGAGAAAATTAAGTCCGAAAACGGCTTTTTTTAGTTTGATTTCTGATTTTCCTTCAATTTTCGGGTTGAAAATTATCTCCATTTTGCTCAATGAGTCATTTTCTCTTCAAGTTTTTTTGACTTTTCGAATTTTTAAGTTTTTTTAGAAAATAATTATTTAGAATGGTTGAAGCGTCGCGGTTGCGCCGCATTTTGGCGGTAAAAAGGGATTTAAATTTCTCTCAATCTTCGTTCAATCTTCGTTCGTAGATTTCAGAGCCTCTCAGATTTTAAAATAAAAAGCAGAGATTTATTTTCGAAGCTTTATCGTAAGTTTCCAGGAAACTCACAAATAACCTCGGAAAAGGAAGTTTCGGGGAAAGTAAAGAAGGAACTTGAACTGAATAGTGACTTACGTAGGCTCTAAAATTACTTTTTCAACAATGACACATCCATTTGCACTTGTTTTTAATTGTTTGATTAATTGATGGGCGTGGTGGGAAAGGATTATGCTGTACGTTTCGAAGAAACATTGGTTTTACGGTCAATTAAAGGGAAACTCGTGACTTCCGAGGGATAAATAGGCTCAGTCGTCACCCTTCTTCCAGTTGTATAATCATTCACCACGACTTGGATCAAGCTGGCTTGTCTGCTCTTTCCGCTTTCTTTTCGAAACTTCCCTCTTTGCTTGTTTTTTTTTCCAAGGAAAAAAAAGAGGCAAGCCAGACGGTTTCAAGGGTGCTACGACAAGGGCGAGTCTCCCTTTTCCGAAGAGTACTGTATGTGAAAGTCCGTGTACACTTCGCGTGTTTGCACATTCTGACAAGGTAGGTCATTTTACTTTGCGGTTGGGAATTTTCTGAAAACTTGTCAGAACATCCCGAGAAGTACCAATTCGAGGTTCTGAAAGTCTCAGCCTGCACAACTTCCTAGTTTTCAACATATAAGGGCTCAAAGCTCTAAAAATGGCCTTTTTGACGCATTTTGTATGTTTTTTCTTAAGTTAGAGGTCTCCTCTTTCAAAAATTAAGGAGTTGTGCAGGTTGAGACTTTCAGAATTTTTTTTTGGTACTTTAAGGAGTGTTTCGACCAATTTTCAGGAAATTCCCAACCACAAAATAAAATTACTTTCCTTGTGAGTGGCTCCATCTTCGCCTTTTTTACAGTTTTTTTTCTAAATAAAATGGATTAATAAAACTATAAGAAACAGTTGGATTAGATGAACTATTCATTCTGGCTCAGTATAAGAAAAAACTAGAGATTTCGAATTAAAAATGGATATATTGTAACGCGGAGTTGGAGCCACTGAAAATGTGAAAACACGCGAACTGCGGACTTTCACATACAGTAATCTTCGGAAAAGGAAAAATCGGCATTTTTGTATCGCCGCAGTCGTTGCGAACGAGGTTAACTTAAAAATTCCCACCGTTCTGAAGACTTTCACTCAAAAACATCATGTTTATTTGTTTATTTTTTTGTCCCACGACAATTTGATATTTTGTTTGATGAAATTCGAGAAAGCGTCGGAAAATGAGCCACACCTGTCGAGTTAGTTCCTTCCTTTTTTGGTAAATTGTCTCTCTATAGTTTAGTTTCGACAAGTTTCAACTCAGATTGAGTGGAAATAAGAATTCTAGTTGCCAATTTTGATGTCACCTCGATTTTCTAAAATTTGTTTCTGATAACCTTAGGAGGATCACAAAACAGTGACATTACTTCATTACAGAATTTTCTGTGGCTCCTAGGAATATTTTTTGGCTGAATTCCGAAAATTATAAAAATCATGAAAAAAATCTTCAGATCCTTCAAAAATCCTCAACTTTATTCAAATCTCTTTGATATTTTCTTTCTTTCAAAATAAAATTTACACGTATTTCATGGCTTTTCAAAAAATTTTTCAAAGCGGTGAAGCTAGGCTGGAAAAAGGTCAGCGAATTCACTCCGTTAAACATAGGCTTGTTAGTACTAAGTGGAGTTTTTTCTCGACCAAATTCAATTTTTGAACTCATTTTTCAAATTAGAGTTCAATGCCCGGAGCGGTCATTTTTTTTTTCCAGTCCTTTTAAAAAGGTTTTTTTTTGAATGATTGAAGTCTTTCTGAACGATATTATTCTTCGAAAAACCTATTCAGTTTTAAGGAGAAAATAATTTTTGAATAAAAAAGTGCCCACCTTTTCATCATGACACAAAATTCTGGAAATTCGACTTGGCCATTTCCATCGAGGTCGACGTCGTGGATGATCTCCAGCATTTGCTGAATTCATAATAATTCCAAAAAAAGTTTGAATTCTGAAATCGAACCTTCGTTCAAAAAATTTCAAAAGCCTCTTTTCAAAAAAGGGTATTTTGAGCTTTGAAATTCAGAATAATTATTTTTTCATATTTCTTTCAATCAACAAAAAAGGCGCTATTTTCTGGTTCTCAACTCTTTTTCACTTTGCCGATGTTTAATGGCTTGCTAATTGAAGCTCCGATTAAATTCTCGTCGTTTCCATTTGTTTCTTGTTGCCAGAGGATCAATAGGTTGTTTATGAGCTTTTAATTTTCGAATCTTATTTTTATTATGAGGAGCACCTGTTCTGTTGGGTTCTGGCCGAGAGCTCTCATCGCGATTCCCAATTCTTTGATTGAAATCGTTCCATTGCCGTCCTTAAATGGTCGTTTTTCAAGTTCGCAATATTTTTTTGTATTAACAAAACTTTTATAGCAAAATATAGAGTTCTAAGTTTGTTTGAACTTTATAACCTGTTCAATAAAGGAGCCAAAAAAAGTCTAAAAGTCGATTTTGTGCTAAAAATTTGATTTTTCAAAAAGAAGATCAACCGGACTTATCACTTGCGCTTCTAAAAACCCTAGGCGTAGTTAGTTTTGAAAAAAAAACCTCAATTTTTTCACTCAATTTCAAGCTTCTTACCTTGTCAAAAAGCAAGAAAGCCTCTTTGAACTCAGTGATCTCCTCTTCTGTTAACTGCTGGATAACCTGAAATACAAAGTTTTTTTGAAAGCTATAACCAAACTGATAAACCTGTTTCGATTCCTCGAACACTTCCTGCAGGGTCCTCGTTCGCAGCATTGACATAGGACAATGCTGAAAAAAAATTTTCATGCAAAAATTAATGAAAAGCTTTTTTTTGGTACAAATCCTAAATAAAATAGTGAATATGGATCAGAAATCTGAATATTTCTCAGGGTTTCATTGAATACCTCTTCCTAAAAAAATAATGCGAATTCATTCCAGTAAAATAACGTTTTTTTCGTTTTTTTGAAGCCAGATTATGGAAATTTTTGGGATAACTTTTTTTCCCAAAATTATAAGTTTCAGGTTATCGGAACATTCCATTTTGAGCGAATTGGATTTTTTTGAATGTGAAAAAAATGAGCGAAAACTCCACTTCTGATTTGGCCGATGGCTTTAAAATTAAAACTCGAAAAAATTCTTTAAATTAAGCGAAAAATCTCTAAAAAGGTCGGAGAAATGAAAAGTAGAAAATAGACAAATCTTCAAAAGAAAAAGGAACTCGAGCAAAGTAGAAAAGTGAAGATGAGTTTAAGATAAAGTGGGAGTGTCGGATAAAGGTTTTGTTTGAGGAGCCGAGGTATGAGTGTCCCCGGCGGCTCTTGTGAACCGAGGACCAACTTTTCGGCGGGAAAATCAGAGACTTCGACCCTTGACTTATCAGTTCAATTGGGCTCGCCCAAGTTCCCAGCAAAGAACCTTTTGGAAAGCTTCGAAACTTGAACGGTATTGACAAAATAACTGAAACGATGAAGTGAAAATTTTATTTTTTAGTTTCAATTTGGAATTTTTTACAGACCAAATGATTTGTTTCATTGAAAACTATAAGCATAAAGTTGCTAATCCTGCGCAAAACTGTTCTTATAAAAACTCATTCTTTGGAGGTATTTTTTTTCATTTTTAGGAACATTTTTCTTTAAATCAAGGTCAAGATTCATTCCCAGCGGCTTCAAGGTCGCTGGATGGGTTCCTTTCAAGGGTAGAAAAAAATTTTTCCGGTTGAATAAAAAAACAAGAAATATTGAAAATGGAAAGTTCTGAGCCAGTTTTGGCTTCCACCGTCTTATGATTTCTCGAATAAATTACAAAAAAATGAACGGAAAAAAATTATTACTATTCAAAATAGTTATCCGAGATTTTTTTCTCTGCAGTTAAACTATTTTTATGATATAATTAGAGAGTACCATTAAGTGGGAGGGAATCTAAAGTTTTTAATCCAAACAAATGACTTCGAAATTTTTTCTATACGTTTTTCAACCTGACATAAGCTATTTTAATTTCAAAAAAACGCTTTTTAAACCAGAAAAAAACACTGAAATTTGGGCCTTGTTTCCCTTGCCAAAACACATTGGTCAGGAAATTTATATCTGTGTACAACTATGGGTTTCCCTCCAGACAAGCGGGTCTGACGTGAGTCTATACTTTATGCATTTAACATTCAACGTTCTGCATCGGCTTCACCTCTTTTTTTTTATTTTGCTCCATCAATTCCAACACTCAATTCTCTTGTCTCGCTTTTTTTTTTCGAAAGAAACCAAAAATGATATTTGAGGTGAGATGGTGGTCGGTCGTGTCGTCCTTCTGCTCGTTTTCGTCGTCGGCCTCGCCGCTGCTTGGGCCATCGACGGTTCGTTTCGATTAATACTATTATTTTCATTCATTCATTCATAAAAGAATAAATTTGAAAGTTTTTTTTTGTTTGAATTCTTAAAAAGAAAAAGGGACTAACCCAGAAAATTAACAAGTTATGGGTTATTTTTATTTTTCACTTTGTCTTGGAATTTTCTGAAAATTTTCTCAAAAAGCTCTGAAAAATGTTTAACGTCTCAAAAAAACTCACCAATTTTCGAGAAAAATGGCCTCAAAAACGTCATTCTTCAGTTGGATTGGCCATGATTAAAATTCAAGATTTCTTCAAGAGAATAGGAATCTTCAAACCTTTACTTGAACTAAAAAAATGTGTCTGGTCAAACTTCAAAAGAATTACCTTCTTTTTTTGATTTTTGAGCAATATATCTCCAAAAGAGTTTTCCACTCATGTCACCTACGCTAAATTGATGCAAATAAATCTTATTTATTCATCTTTTTTTAGATCAAAGAGCTCTTCATAGTTCACACAAATCTATGGATTAATTTTTTCACATTTTAGTTCTTTTTTCATTTTTCGTTAGGTAATGCATGGAAGTCCCATTTCTAACTTGACCATGCATATAAAGAAATTGTGTACAGTAAAGAGATATTCATTTGAAAGCAGATTTCTGAGTTACTTTTTTCGATTCAGAAGTCAAAGATAAAAGGATTTTTTTGCCGTAAGATGAACCCAACCCTTGCCTCCTCTGAGAAAATCAGTGATTGTTTTCTAAAGAACTATTCACTTTTTTTGGCTAGTTATCATTTTCTTCTGTTACCCTCTTATTTTGATGACGACGCTGATGAGACTTGAGACCTATGGAACCATTGCTGAACACCCAAACCGCTGGTCTACGGCCGCCGCTTTTCTTCTCAAATCGAATTGTTCTTTTTTTAATGTTTTTGTGTTTATTATATAAATGATTAGTGAAATTTGAGCTTGAAAATCGATAGTTCAAAAATAAAACTAGCTGTCTCTATTTTTCATATGTTTTTTATCGAGTCTTTTTTTATAGTTCAAATTGATGACTTTTTTTGTCAAATCCAACTTGAAAAGTTTTTTTCAAATTCTTCGGAAAAATTGATATAAAAACACTGATAATATTTGTAACACGGAAAAATTGATACAATTTGCTTTTTTTCTACAACTTTCGATTGTTTTTTTAATTCTGAAAGTGCTAAGAACATTCAAAAAAATATTAGCCTGGATCTTAATAATTGAAAAAAAGAACGCAACTAATTTTTTTCATTCGTTTTTCCATGCATAAAATGTCTAAAAAGCTCTTTTAAAAACACCATTCTGCGAAAAATCTCTAATGAATTTTTGACTTTTTAAAAAAATTCGACCTTCTTTATTAATGAACCTTAAAAACAGAGCAAACGTTGAAGTCATTATTTCAAAAAAAAAAAGTGAGTAACATTTGGGCTCTTGAAGTACTCGTGAACAATGTTTCTCTCTAGAGCAAATATTGTTCGCAAAACAGAGCGAATCTTCGAGCCCTGACGTATTGTGACTACCGATCTCCGATTTTGACCTCAAAAATCAGCCGAACCACTTGGGATGCGGCTTTTCACGAGTTTGTGCAGTCTGTATTGTCTTTGGTGACATCATTTATGTTTTCTTCCTGAAAATCTAGCCCAACTTTTTGAGTTTACTCACCAGATTGACAGTGACTGAAAAAAGAATGGTCAAGTTCCGACTTTATCATTTTTTTTTAACTTTTAGCTTTTGAAGTTGACTTTTTTTTGTGGTTTATTCATTAAAAAAAGAATTTTTTTATAATCATCAGCTAAGATGAATTTTCAGTGTAGCGTATGATGTTGGGGAACATCTTTTTTCATTTTTTCATTTTTTCAACTTACCAACTGGTTTGTTTCTGTTTGAAAAATTCTTGCAGTCGTTTTGAAAGCGACTATATGTTTTCATTTAAGGCCGCAGAAACATCCATTTTTAAAAAACCCATACAAATTTTGAACAAAATTTCGTGAAAATAAGGAAAAAAAACTCACAAAATGACGTGTCATGGGTGGAGTTGAAGATTCAAAGGGAATAAATCGGCTCCCTTTCAAAAAGCCAAATAAAAGGTAGCCGGATAACATTGAGATTTTGATCAAAACACTTGGAAGTACATGGGAAAAATTCGTGTTTTACTCGCGGAGGAAAAATGAAAAACAGAACAGACAAAATCTGGCAAAATACTCTTGTAATGGATTATTTCTTCTGAGAAATTTGATAGACTGAATAAATAGAAAAAAAGAATTTTTATGAATTTAAGGGCCTTCAATGGTGCCTGAGCACGAGTACGCGAGACACCACGAGGCGAATCTCTTCAGACAAAGGCTTCTTTCAGCTTTCAGGTGATCCTTTAAAAAAAAAATCTTCCTTCTAAATTTTTCTAAAGGACCAAATGTTTTTCTGTGCATTAGCTCATTTTTTTTTTCAATGTTACGTTTTTGATTTCAGAAGTATTGACCCGAAGATCTCCGAAAGCGTAATGGACAGGTTCACGCGTTATCCCAAGGACTATTAAAAACCAAAAGAAACATTCCATTTTTCCAAACTCGGATTGCAGAGCCGAATAAAGGATTTTGTTTGTTTTCCTTCAAGTAAAATTCTCATAAAATCGTTAGTCTACAGAATACCAAAAAATCTGAGATTCGGCGATTTCACAAATTATTGTTATAATACGGGTGGCTATGAGAATTGCGTAGCCACGAGTAACGGTAGGAATGGTTTTAAAGAGAAAATGAATCGGAAAACTCACTGAGTGAGGATGGCCTCGTTTACCGTAGTTCTTCTGCTGGTGGTTGCTAGCGCGAGTTTGGTAAGCCTGTTAGGATGAGATTGATTATTTTGTGTACTTTTTCAGGCTGTAAGAGTAATTCCTTCTAGCATCGATAGGTAAACTGAAAAAATTAAACTGAGAATAAATTCGCATGTAGGGAAGGAAAAGCTTGTGTCCCGCTGCTTGCAAAAGCCGCCTGTACTCACATTTTGAACCGAGCGGAGCAGGTTCTTGGTCATCGAGAGTACGAAAAATACTATGATCTCTTCGAAGATGAGGCCGATTACGAAGTCAAGGGGACCAACTACAAGGGAAAAGGTTTTTTTTTTCGTTTTTCTCAGGTTTTTACATAAGAAATTGGTATCAGAAACGCGTTTTTCGACTCTGAATACGCTAGAATGCTTACAAAATGTCTTTGGGGCCACGTAGAATGAAAAGTAAGATTCGAAACGGAGATTACTGTTTCAAATCTAGTTTTCAACTAACTTTATTCCAAATTAACTCAATGCTTTCAACTAGGGATAACAGATAAGTTACACAGATAAGAGAGACTTCTCTTTTCCGAAGAGTACTGTACGTAAAAGACCGCATTTCGCGTGTGCACTTTGCGTGTTTGCACACTTTGTGATCCCATCTCCTTTTTTTATCTATTTTTTATTTGAAATTTTAGTTTTATTCTCATAAGTCACAATGAATAGTTGATGTTCAACCGTTTTCTATGTTCCCAAACTCTCCCTACATCTATTTCGTGAAATTGAGTACTTGTGTGTGAGAAATAAAACATTTTGATTGGATTGATTGATATAGGTTTAAAACATTTCAATGAAATTTAGAACAAAACTGTAAAAACGGGGAGATAGGCCACTCAGAATGTGCAAACACCCAAATTGCATACGCCAAATGCGGACTTTTACATACAGTACTCTGCGTAGCACCCTTCTACTGACCTAAATTTCAGAAATCCTCAAATTCTACGCAGACATGCTGTCAGCCCACCCCGTTCGCGATATAATGGTTTGAAAACTCGAATATCCTGAAACAGAAACCCTTCAGTACATGCTCAAAAGCTGGGACCAATCCGAAACTCCCCAACTGGCCAAGTGCTTCTTGTCCCACAAAGCGACGCTCTTCTCGAAGAACTTCAACGCCGAATACGTCTACTTTCTGCGCCAGGTTGAATTATCAGTTATCACTTCTTTCTCAATAAAGCTTTTTCAGGGCGATGACTGCGCCTACCGTATCTACCGCGTTGAACAAGACTGAAACTTTTGAGATATTCAATAAATATTCGAACATATTACTTTCTTAAAAAGAAACAGGACGTGATAAAATAGATGGCAATTAGAAAAGATTGAATGAAAATTGCAACAAAAAGTCTGACCAAGCTGGCCTTCGGGTTCTTTTGGAATTCTGGAAGGAAAGATCAATTTTTTGATTCGTCTCTATGGTGTTCTCATTGTTGATATTATTGGGAAACGTACCAGAAGTCAGCCCTGAATGTGCAAAAAAACACATTGAACTTATCTGTTTTACTTTTTCTCTTCATCAATTTTCAACAATATAAACTTTTTAAATGTGCCTATTTTTCCTGTTCAGTCGGCAGCTTTTGCAGCACTTTTTAAACGTATTTTTGTAGGTGAGGGAAATTATTTTTTAATTCATGAACATTTTTTTGAATTGAAACGATTTTCCGAATGAAAATATTGCCACTAGGTGTCACATAATTTTTTTGAGCTCAACTTTACCTGGATCTTTTTGGATTTCCAATACCTTTTTTTCTATTTTTTTATTAAAAAGTCTTAATTGGAAAAATTTCGGAAAGGGTAATAGAAAAGCTTAAGCTAATACAAGAACTTCTGAAAACCAGAAAAAATTCATTAAAGATCTTTTCATGAATGTCTTTTTCCGTACGCTTAAAAGGTCAAGCTCAAAAAAGGGAAACATTTTTAGTGTGACAATTTTTGAAGATTGCAAGTACAAAAGTCTTCTCATGAGCTCGTTAGTCTAGCGGAAATCCCTACAAATGATCTGAGATTCTCCAATTTCTCAAATATTTGTTAAACTATATATTCATGTGAAAAGTGAAGCCGCGGGAAACGGTACAATTGCTTTAAAATAGAGAATGGATCAGAATATTCACTGAAAAAGAAATGGGACCTTTTACCGTAGTTCTTCTGTTGGTAGTTGCCAGCACCACTTTGGTGAGTCTAATCGAAAAACAAAAATTATCACTTTTTTTACATTTCTCAGGCTGTAGATATTCTTCCTACTGACAAAAACAGGTAAACTAGAAAAATGAACAGAAGAAATTTATGTGTAGGGGAGGAAAAGACTGTGCTCCGTTCTCGGCCAAGGCTGCCTGTACAAACGTTTTGCATCGCGCCGAAAGCCTTCTGGCTCATCGAGAGTACGAAAAATACTTTGATCTCTTCGAGGAACAAGCCGAGTACGACGTCAAGGGGAAGAACTACAAGGGCCGAGGTAGTTTTCTCTGATAGGCAAAGTCCAAAAAGGAATATTTTGAAGTTTTACTGAGAATTTACTGACCAGATGTGGTATGTGCCTTTAAAAAAACCTCGGATCCAGAAAACATTAAAAAAATTTTAATAATGGAAGTCTGGGTTTTCAGCATCCTTGAACTCTCATAACTCGGTTTAAAAAAACAGAAAATATACTTTTTTGAGAATTAGATCCAAAATCCTTTAAATAACATATAAGCGGGTTCGCCGCAAATCCTTAAAGATTTTTCTTTTGGAACTCTCTCGCCAAATTTACCTCTCCCAATTTTCAGCTCTACTAAAATACTACGCCGAAATGGTTTCAAAGCATCCTGTCCGCCATATCACGGTTTTGATAACTGTACAATTGAATAATCTGAAGTGAAAATGATACAGTTCACGCTGAAAAACTGGGAGCAGTCGGACAATCTTCGACAGGCCAAATGCTTCCTGCATCACAATTCGACTCTTTTCTCGTTGAACTACAACGCCGACTACGTCTACTTTTTGCGCCAGGTGAATCATTTTCAATACTATCTTCTTCTTCTTCCTACGACTTTGTACCTTTGTCGGGTTCCCAAGCCGATGAGCCGAGATACTGTCCTAATATCAGTGATAATTAGTGGAATGCCTCTAGTGACATATCCGTCCTCCCGTGTGGCGGCTGTGGTCTATGAAGCCGTGGTTATCCACTACCAATAGTTCTCGAACCCCTCGGTTGATTCGCGATGGGGATCGAACTTGTGACCCGGTAGACCGTATATAAGCACACAATCTGTTGCGCTACGGCGTATCAGTTTCAATATTTTCATACTAATTTTCAGGGCGAAGACTGCGCTTACCGTGTCCGACGCGTCGAGCAACACTAAAATCGATTAGGAATTTGCATAAACGATTGCTAGCATAATTTTACATTTTCACAAATATACAAAGGAAGTTCAAAAGCAGCGCATTCAATTTATTGTAGAGAAAAAAAACAACCGTATTTTCGTTTGCTCATAAAAACTCGTCGCCAGTTTCGACGGATTCAACCAAAGAATTGGACTCATGCAGACCCTGGAAATTTTTTTTCGAATACGCTTCGTCAAAAAATTCTCTGAACCATATTCCGACGGACGTCAGTGCTCAGAACGACTTGCGGGACCCGTTTTTGGGCTAAGATCGACGTCTTCAAAGTAATCAACCTAAAAATGAGATTTCAAAAAGAAATTATTTCAGAGAGTAGGTTGTTGTTGATAATTTTGAACTACTGCGCGTTTGGAAACTTTCCGATTTATTCAAAATGTGGTTTTTCGAACATTTTGGTTTCTATTTTGCTATCAACATGATTCTTGTCAGAGCTTCATTTTGCGCCAAAAAAAATGGAACACTCTTTCTGAAGATTGTAAGTTACTCTGTCGACAGATAGCGAGACAGCACGGTTGCCGAAGATGTGTTAGAGAGAAAGAGATCTGCATCTCTTCAGCTTCTATAGTATCCCACTCAGAAAGTTTGAGAGCCTGTTTTTTGAAACTTTCAATCCTAGAGTACACAAGACTGTGAAAAGAGATTATACACCATAATTTAATCATTCTGACTTGTCTGTGCCCTCTTGATCACTGACAGCGTTAATGAAGGGATAGAGGGCGCAGACAAGTCAGCCATGATGACTTTCTTTTGAATTCTACTTTCAATAGCATATAATTTCATAATTAGAAGCTTTATAAACCTTCTCAGAGTTTTTTCTTTGCAGTCAGTCTTCTCAGTGTTTTCAAATCCCGAACCTCAATCGTAGACGTAGCCAGAATCCGGGGCGCTTTCTGGAAGAGGCGGAGAAGGCGTCGGATGGTCGTGAGTGCGTGGAGCTCCTGAATTCCTTCGTGGATTGATGTGCGACAGGGTTGACGTCATCAATGCGACAGGGCGCAGTTGTAAAAGCGATGTCGTCGAAAGCGATAGAACACTGCAACACATTCCGGGGTGGGATGGCACTATCAGCCAGAGATTCGGCTTCTAAGGTGATGGAAAGGGGAGGTTAGGAGGTTGGAGAGGACAAGGAGTGTTAACTATCGTGCTGATCACAAAAATTGATGAGTTTGGGTTTTTGTCGATGGATTTTTCGTTAAAAAATTGAACTGAACAATGGAGGTTACAACTCAGGAATGCTTTTACAGTCATGCAGAGAGGTGAAAATCTTTTTTTTTGAACGAAGGTTGATCAACTATGAGATCAATTTCAACATTTTTTTTTTCCACTAATGTTGAAGTTTTTTAGCTCAGATACTAAATCAGCGGGAAAATTGTCCCATTTGGGCTTCTGGTTCCCTTATATCATCTTCTCAAAGCGATTTATGAGCCTAGACGATATTTTGAAGTCTCACTAACTTCGTACTGAATTATCAAATATTAAATCTTGAGAACTGGCCGATTACAAAATGTATGCTAAGTGCTCGACAGGAAATATCCGAACTTTGAAATGCCTTTTACAACCATGCGACGAAACAAATTTCTATGAATATTACTGAAAATCAAACTTGTGAGCTTGACGAGCGACGAACTCGACGGCGCCGTGGGTGGCGTGGCTGACGGACTGTCGTTTCCGCTGCATCGCCATCACGTGCTGAACCCGGAGTTCGCGGTTGATCAACGCGTACAGGACGGGGTTGGCCGCCGAGTTGAAGCACACCTCAACAGAGATATTCTTTCATTTCTACCTTTCGAGTGGTCGGTCCTCATTTCCGCTCTTTCCTGAGAATTATTCCGACGCCCGGCAGCCCTGGACAATCTGGGCGTCGTACTGTTCCTACATGGAGAAGAAGCTAATCGTCGGAACGCTCAAAACTCGTCTGCTAGTATTAAAAGAAGGACGAAATGATCTACGCGCCGTACTTGATCAACGAAAGTTCCGCGAATTTTTAAGAGTCCAATAAAAATAGATGAAGTGAAAACACTATTCTACTTCAAGCTAGAATCCATTCGATAATTTTTGGATGTTGAACTTCAGAAATCAGAAAAATCGTCCAAAAAAAAAACCGTTTTCCCTCTTTTCAGAGACGAAAAGAGTTTTGAGAGTCTCTTTTTTTCAAACACTATCCTAAAGTAACAATAATGAAAACGAAAAATAGGAACTCACCAACAAGTGGGCTACGAAAAACATCGCGGATAGTGCAGGAGTCAGCCAGGACACCTAAAAGTCGAGAATTGCACCAAAACTCTATTAAAATGACCTACATGAATAAGGTTGAACTGAGACATGATGTTGAGAGTCCATTGAGGGGTCCAGCAAAGGAAATAAAATAGGATGACCGCCACAATTCTCTTGGTCACCTTTGAAAAAAGTTCTAGGTGTGTCTGAGATTTGGGCCAACCTTTTTGACGCGATTTCCAGAATCTTGCTTAGTTTGTAAGCTTCTGCCTCCTCTCATGTTACGGGAAGCTATTTGCAGAACGAAAATCACCTGGAATCGGTAAGTCCAAGAATTAAAAAAGGATACATTAGTGCTCTGAACTTCAAGAACTCCATGAACTGAATATTAATGGCTTTAAAAATAATTTTAAATTTTACAAAAAGGGGAAAATACGAAATATATAATAGAAAATCGTCCAAAAACCAAAAATCTAAATTACCATTTTTCAATATTTTCAAATGAGTAATAGTAGTATAGGAAGGAGGGATTATAATACCGTTTTTCGACATTTCAGTCATTTCAACACATTTTTCATTCTCTGACTGCAGAGAATTACCTCATTACAACACTTTTTTTCGTAAAAAAAGTGTGAAATGAGTCAATTTTGGAGAACTAAAAAGTGCTTATTTTTCAATAATTTTTTTATACATTTTCGACCAATTTTTTTGCTTGGATTTTGATTTTTATTTTTCTATTTCTCATTTTCATGCTTAAATACTCGAAAATGTGTAATTTTCATACTTTTTAGAAAAATTGATGGATGTCGATGGATGTCGATTTTTATTCAAAAAAAGTGGTATTATCTCTGAAGATAAAAAATAAGCTTAATTCTTTACACAAGTGTATTTATTTAAAAACGTTTACCAGAAAAGATACAAACAAGAGAAATAGGAATAGTCACAAATAAGGTTTAAAAAAATAGAAGATAAAATAATAAGCAGATTCCTCAGTTGGAGTCAGTATCAGAACCACGAAGCGACACTTCCGGCGAAATCGTTTCGTACAGTCGATCTATCAGCTGTTCTCCTCGAGATAAGACTCTAGCTTCATCTGCATTTGGTTCAGGACCTATAATACAAAAATTAATAAAATATAAAACATCATAAAAAAATATATGCAAAAAAATACCCAGTTCAGCAATATCTGCGAGAATACAAAGAGCGTTGATCTGTCGTTCCAGTCGGCGGACGATTCTCAATGTCGAGGAACGCTAAATACAATATTCAGTTATTAATTGATTATGTATACACTTTTTGTATCTATTAGTCCAATATTATAATTTATTGTTAACGGAATAATAAAAAAAGAAACATACGTTGTTAACATTCGGTGAAAGAATGGTCGGATCGTTGTGGCCGCGGACTAAATACAAATTTTTTTCCAGGAATAGTTTTTAAATTTATTAAATAAGAATAATGTTTTTTTAAAGTTGTTAAAAAAAGAAAACAAAAAAAGTTTAGAGGTTTCGCATACCTCATTGTTGTCGAAATAGACCATCAATTTCTTCAATGCTCTGGATAAGAGCATCGTTATAGACTTCTTGCGTGTCCATATCCAATCCTCGATAGTATCTAAGACATATAAATTAAATAATAAAAGCAAAATAAAAAAAATAAAAAAAATAATTATAAATCAAATTCTCACTTGGAAGTGATATGAGCGTGAACATCCTTAAACTTTCTTTGAATACGGCGAGCATTTTCCTGAAAGTGTTCATTTAATAGTAAACAAGTAGAAAATTAAAGTTTAACTTACCGAAACAAAACGTCGAGACATGTTAGAACCTCAGAGGCTGGACTCTCTAAACACATTCAGAGGGAAAGTAGGAATAGTTGTTAACAAACTCAAAGTTGCGGAGAAAATAACAATGATAATTATGGATAGGAAATCACGAAATCAACGCCTAAATCAACTACAGAAGAAAAGGAAGTCTTTGCATTCATAAAAGTTAGAATGTGGTGGAAGGATGTGATGTTGGCGTCTCTCAATTTCCTCTGCGTCTCTGCCTTTCACTCTAGCCCAACGCGTTTGCGTGTTGCGTCGCGTGTGTCTAGTTCAACTGGGGCAAATGTGTGATTGTGCTCGCTCAGAGTGAGGAAGAGAAAAGAAGATCACACAAAGAGAAAGAGGACGTTGATGACCTTTGTACGTCACACCAAAGGAAAGAACTAGTTGTAAATGAGAAAGAGAGAGAGAGAGTGGTCAATCTGTGAGATCTAGAACACGACGAGTTTGGTCACACTTTAATGCGTTCGAGAAGCAATTGCATCACACACTGCAATGACACCCTAAACCTTCTCGAAGGTGCTAGCAAACAGGTATAAGAGGATCTGCAAAGACATTCAGCGAAAGCAAGCTTCCTTGAAGTGCCTAGCGAAGGAGAGCGAAGTGTCTCATTTGAAAACGATTTGTGTCGCAGAATTTCTTCAGTTTTGCTTCGTTTTCTTGCATAAATTATCTCATTATCGCTTATAACTTGCTTCAAAGTTGCTTCCAAGACTTGAAATTTTAAATTTGATCTTTTCAGACAAGTCCTCTTCTCCAAAGGATCTCCTACGGATTCAGCGAAAGCAAGCTTCCTAGAAGTGTTTGTGAATTTCAAATGAGTGGAAATCTCCCAACTTCCATGGATGTTGATGAAACCGAACATTCTGAAATCCGAAGGATTCAAGATCCTAAGACGACTCCTAAGGTTTCGAAGATAGAAGAACTCGATACTCAACGAGAAGAATTTCGGAAAGATTTGGAGAGTCTTAGTTTGGAACAGCTTCAACGAAAGGTTGGTTTTATTTTTTCAAAGAATTTGAAATTCAATGACTGATTTCAGGCAGAAATGTTGGAAGATAAGGCAGCAAAAGCAACTGCAAAGGCTACAATTGCAAGAGCTTACTATGAGAATGAGAAGATATTAATTGGAAAGAGACAAAGAGCATATCAAGAAAGAAAAAAAGGTGAGAATTTGATGAATTATCTTTACAAAATCAAAGATTCTGAGACAGAGGATCGATAAAACAATTTTCCTAAGATGACTCCAAAGACGACTCCTTTTTTCAGAAGAAGGATATTGTGAAGACACAACGTACAAAGTTGATGAAACTACATCGAGCTGAGCGAGACAGGAAGATTAAATTAAGAGATGAAGCCGATGACCTTCGAGAGAAAGGAGAGTACTACGCTTAGATAATTATTAATAAGTTGTTGCATTGTGTTAGTATTTATAAACTATAGCCATACTGGTATTTATAAACTATAGCCATACTGGTATTAATGAAATATAGCCATACTGGTATTAATGAAATATAGCCATACTGGTATTAATGAAATATAGCCATACTGGTATTAATGAAATATAGCCATACTGGTATTAATAAAATATAGCCATACTGTTATCATACTAACAATTGCAATAATTATTTCATTGTTATGATTATTATTCTTTTTATCTTCTATCTTTCTCATTATAATAAATGTCTGATCATGTATATTGTTTCAAATGCAAGATAAAGACGAACACACTTGATGTTGAATCGATGTTGACAAAGAACAACAGATCAATGATGAAGGGAAAGTGTGAAGTTTGTAATACAACAAAGTGTAAGTTAATTTCAATGAAATCAACAATTAAAGGAGGTTCATGAATCAAGGATTCCAAGGATACAAAAGATCTCTTAGAAAAAGCTTATTACTCTCCAAAAACAGGATTTTGTGGTATCAATGAATTGCAAAGAAAAACAAAATTGCCAATCAAGGAAGTTCAAGAATTCTTGAATCAGCAAGATGTTTACACTTTACACAAGCCAGCACGTAAGAATTTCAAGAGTCAAAGAGTTTACGTTAGTGGAATAGATGATCAATGGCAATCTGATTTAGTAGAAATGATTCCTTATGCCTCGGAGAATAAAGATTACAAATACCTTTTAACAATTATAGATTGTTTTTCAAAGTTTGCATGGGTTGTTCCTTTAAAAAATAAAACAGGTAAAGAAACTTCTTTAGCTTTGGAATCTATCTTCACAAAAAGTAAAAGTAGACCACAAAAGATGCAGACTGATAATGGTAAGGAGTATTATAATAAAGAAATGAATAAATTATTCAAATCATTAGAAATCAATCACTTTTTCAACTTATTCAGATAAAAAAGCTTCAATAGTTGAAAGATTTAATAGGACTTTGAAAGAGAAAATGTGGAAAATGTTCACTCATCAAGGAAATCATCGTTGGATAGACATTCTTGATGATCTTGTGTTAGGATATAATAATCATTATCACACTTCAATAAAAATGACTCCCACGCAGGCTTCAAAAATAGAAAATGAGAGCATAGTATTCAATAACTTGTTTCCTAAGAAAGAATTAGAATTAATGAATGAAGATAAAAAAGTGAAATTCCCGAAGGTCTTGCACAAAGCAAAATTCAAAATAGGAGATACCATTCGTATTACAAAGTATAAAGCCATCTTCGACAAAGGATATCTACCAAATTGGAGTACTGAGCAATTCAAAATTTCTGAAGTCCTTTTAGGTGAACCAACAATGTATGAAATCAAAGATCTTGCAGATGAAGAAATTAAAGGAAAGTTTTATGAGGAAGAATTAACCTTGTATGATAATGTCAAGGAGGAATATAAAGTTGAAAAAGTTCTGAGGAAAAGAAAAAGAAAAGAAAACGGTAAGACGTTAAAAGAAATACTTGTCAAGCGGTATGGATATCCAGATAAGTTTAACTCTTGGATTCCAGAAATAGATATGAAATCCTAAACATTAAGGAGTTATCTTAAATACTGACAACTTTAACTCTATTATCCTTGATTTCTACAATATTTTCTGACAGAATCAGACAGTAACATTTAGTACTTTGAGCAATGTTTTTAGCGAAGCTGGCTTTTATTGTGACATCAGGCCGAGATGCAATGATTCTATCATTCTGTTTAGATACATCAAATACTAGAAGTGGATGATAATAATAATAAACATCTTCTTCCATGAAAAATGTAATCTTTCACTGATTCATAATAACTATTTCTGAATTCTTTAGCAAAATTGTATTGTTGAACTGCATTAAATTTATCGAAATCAAATTTTAGACATTCATATGGATATCTTTCGCTATTGAGTTCAACATAAATTTCTTCAAGTCCACAATTATCGAATTTTGCAGCATTCAGATAATTGTTATCTCTAGCAGTTTGAAAAGAGATAATGAGGTATTTTTATTTTTATCATATTTAGTTCCTAGTTTCCAAGTAAATTCACGATTACCATTAGGAATATTATAACTCTCAAATTGTCTAGAAATAAAAAGGCATTTGCACTAATTTATAACTTTCAAATAAATTAAGAAGTTTGTTTTGCATTTCAAGACTAGGCATAATTTTAGGAATTATCCATTGAAGTTTATTAATAGTCATCTTAGCAGTAAATTTAGTAGGATCTGTTGAAGTAATACTATTCTTATTTTCTGGAGATCGATAGAGTGATAATTGGTGTTTCCTTCCATAAATTATTCGATTATAACATTCAACAAAGCCAAAAATATGAGTCAGTGGAATACAGAAGGTTAGTAAGCCTTTTCTATTTTTAGTGTATTTATTTATCTTATAATTCATGATATCCTTAGTCTCAAGGATCCAACCAAAAGTATTTTGTTTATTCATTGTTGAAGAATAAGTAAGGAGGCCTTTTATAAGTGAAGCTCTTCCAGGATCAATGACATTTTCAACTTGCATACCATCTAAGCAAAGAGTTGCTCTATCAAATAAAAACATAGGAGCATTATTTGTTAATGATACTTCATCAGCTTCGGATAATGCACTAGAGTCTAATTTAGTAAGTTGTGCTTCTAAGTAGATGTAAGATTTATGAAGAAGGAGGTATTGATCACAAGTTTCTATTATAAAATTAATTTCTCCATGTTGATTTAAACTACTACCACTAGAAGGAAAAATGCTAATCAAATTTTCTTTTTGAATTGAAGTATCCTGAACAATTGGACTATCAACAATCAAAATTCTATCAACAGCTTCTAATATTTTTGATTCTGGCATTTTTAATTTATTTAAAATAAATTTTCTGAAGTAAATGAATCTCTATCGAGTATTACAATTCTATTTCTTTTTAACATTTACTCATTATGATATTTTGGCAAGTGCTAAAAGTATTATATGTTCTTCTGATGCTCCAGTTCAATACTTTAAATTACCAAAATTACATAAATGTAATTACCATAGACAATTGAATGAAAAATCAAAAGTAGTAAGTTATGAAGTCTTCAAACCGAACATTATCGAACACTCAAGTGAAGCTAAGTTATGTAAGAAATTAGTTAGTGAAGTATCAATGTATACAGATTTTTCTGGATATGAGCATCTAGTAGAAAAGGAGTTAAATCATCGAAGTATAGGTGTTGCAGAATGTAGAGAATGGATTGCAAATAAGAAATGTGAATATGGAAGTTTGGTGAAAGGTAAAGAAGGAATATTTAGTACAAATAATAAAGTGAATGAAGATTATCCAAATCGATTTACTAGTTTCTTTACAAGCAAAAGATATTACAAAGAGAATTGTGTAATTATTGAAACTAAAGTATATTCACACTTCAATCAAAGTAGACCATCTAATGTTCTCTCCGACTTAAGTAATTGTAAATATCAGGATGGTTATTGTCAACCTGGGAAGATGAATGAAATTATGATTTGGGATGTCAATAAAGATCAGAAGTGTCAATACATTTCTATTGGAAAACTAGATGGAATAATGAGTAATGGACTGTGGATAAATAGTAAAAAACAAATTGCTCTGAGTCTTGGGGAAAACAAAATTGTGAGAGATTGTAATCTTGATCTATTAGTTAGTGATGAAGGTTTTGCAGTACGCTCACTTGAAAACGAAATACCAAGAATTCCAACAGAATCGAAGTTTCCTAGATCCACAGGATTGACACAACAAGCACTAACATCAACTCCTAGTCTTCAAGAAATGAGTATTAATCTTCAGACATTTCAAAAAGAAAAAGAAGAATATTATAAAAGACAACAAGAACAAATCCAGAGGGATCGAGAACTTAATGAGCAACAAATCCAAAAGGATCGAAATAGAATCCAAACGGAAAAAGACAAAGAAGTAAGAGATAAATACGAAGCTGATCGTAAAGAATTTGAGAAGACGTAACTGAAAGAAATGATGAAATTCAGCTTTTTAAGCCTGGTCGTAATGAGTATTACTTTGACAAACCTGTCTTGATGAAAAATGCTGAAGATCTTAAAAGCATAAAACAAAAACTAACAAAAGAATCTATTACAATGCATTTGAGTAAAAGTCGACCAGATTCTAAAACTATGATTCTTGGAGTTTATGCGTTGGGTTTGAAAATTACTAGATTAGATTTTCCGATTGGTAGTAAGGTACAATTACCAGCTTATCTCAAAGATTCAAAGCATATTGTTAGCTTAGAAAATAGTGAAAATAATGTGTGTTTCTTCAATTGTATCGCACTAGCCACAGGATGTAGAACTGATAGATATACTAAAAAATCAAAAGAAGTTTTTGATAAATTTTATGAGAAAAGTATAAAAAAGGGTAAAAGAAAATACGAAGAATATGTAGGATTTGATTTTGTGAATGAATTAGATCATTTTGAAGAAATATATCGAGGACTAGCAGTTAATATTGTTAGTTGTTATCCTGAGAAGAATAAAAATAATGAGGAAGAATTACGAATTTCTTATATCAGAAAATCTAGATTCAATGAAGAAAGAAGACCTATTTATTTGAATTTATATCTTGATCACTTCTCATATATAACTGATTTAAATAAATTAAGTAAGCTTTATTTATGTAATAGATGTGGTTTCAAATGTAGAGATAATCATAATCTACAAAGACATATTGATACATGTCAACTCGAACAAATCGATGTGTTCCCAAAGTATCCTAAGTTGTGGAATAAAAAGAGAAATATAATAGTTGAGCTTTCTGATTATTATGATGTTGAACTAGACTTTAGGTATGATTATGTCATCGTGTTTGATTTTTGAATTCAGTGTGTTTGATCAATATGAAGGGTGAGAAAATACATATGAGGAGGACATTACTATGAAAAGGTTTTAGGATT